GTACAACACGAAAAGGACGCATTGTGTTGGAACTTCTCTGCGAAGGTGATGACTTAGTATTTAACCATACTTTCTATGCATACTTCGTTACTTTCACTTATTATTTTACGCTTTTTTCTAAGCGTGTTCGTTCACTCCTTCCTTCTTCATCCAGTTATTCATTCATCTTTCATCTATTCATTTAAAAGCATTTACTTATGTTATTTACTTTTACTCAATAGTTTTTGGTTTGTTTCTTTGATAGTCCGAATCAAGTATGTATGATTCAGAATGCCTGGCGAGACTAAATAGCACAGAAGATACTGTAGGTTAGTAACGCATTCAATGTGCCTCTTTTCTAATCAAAGAGATATGGTAAGACGAGAAAGATAACAATATTCGTGGAATCATACGATATTACACTGACATAAACACGGGGAAATTCTTAGCTGAGATTTAGTAACACTTGTAGGACATTTGTAGGAAAAAGAGTTATAAAGAAGGAGARAACGAAGGAAGTTTAAGAATGGAGAATGTAACGATAGTTTCAGATAGTCAGGCGCGAGCTAGAAAGGAAACATAAAGAGAGATATAGCTTCTGCTTGTTGCAAAATTAGGTCTAATACAGTTCTATTTTAATATTTTTATTACTGATTTCTTTTGTAGGAATATTATTTGAATTAAACGTATCTTATCTAAGATCGGTAAGCAGGAAATCTCATTCACAAAGCATTGTTTAATGAAATATTTTGAACATTTACGCAAATTATTTAATGGAACCAAGAGAAAACAACTCCTGTAATGTTATTTCTTAGTCGACTGGTGAAAAAAGTGAAGTTAGCTGTGGATGGTGCTTATTRAAACTATTCGAAGATACTGGGATACCTGCTCCTAACAAGTAAGCAGTTTTCCCGCCATTTTTGCTTTGACTGGCGCGCGCGCTCAAAAAGTCGGCGCAACAAAGTAATGTTTTCATTGAATTGATTTTCAGAAATTTTGAGCTGCCAGTCAATGGTGGAACGCCGTTYGACGAAAACTACATTGAATTGGATGGATCTGTGAGTGTGAGAGGTATGAAATAGTCAGTGTTTCCCTGTGTTTAGGGCCGGCTCACACTGTGACATAAGCAGAAGCAGAAGCAGAAGAAGTGTATTTTGTACGTGTGAACCGAGGAAAACATAAGCAGAGACACAAGCAGATGAAAATAAAAAACTTTTTCATTTTCCTCTGCTTCTGTTTCTGCTTATGTCGAAAGATTATGAGTGTGAACCGGGACATCATAAGCAGAAGAACATGCTTCTGTCAAGTGTGAACAAGCTTCTGCTTCGGTTTCTGCTTATGTCATAGTGTGAACATGCCCTTATAGAGCGTTTTTACTAGAACTCGAGACGTTTAATTTTGTTTGTGGTCCGTAACATAATGTTCTTTTTTCTATCTCTTGTAGAAACGCCAAGTCGGTTTCAGTCTATAGTGAGAAGTAATCAACAGCCAAGACTGGTTGTAAAACTAATTTCAGTAAACAAATCAACAAAAGATATCCACGAGTAAGTTGCGGGACCGTCCCTCCCCTCCCTCATAACCACGCTACGTAAWTCAGAAWTTTTWAAGAAAAATTCAATCTTTTCATACATAGCCATGCAAGYTAACTTAGTGTACTTTTCCATAACTTTATAATAGCGTATAAAATACGGTAACAAACTTGCGTTTATTGGACCTTTTTTACTGTAAATTGCCAAATAATTATTCATTTCTTTTTTGTGTTTTAGTACACTGCCCGAGTCAATATTAACGTGCCATCAGTACGCGCAGTTTATCGGTCAGTATAGAGAAATAACAGCAGAAGTCTTGTTTCACGACGGGCGGGATCAGTTCAGTACAGGTAGATATTACCGACTCAMWCCACGTGTATCAYACATGGCAAATATGAATGTTATATTCGAGCTTTCCCCTTTTCCCCCAATCTTCAATACTCGCACTCCWTCCAAGCAGGGCCGCGAGAACAGCACMWTGCTGATAGTTTATCTATRAAAAGGTTCGCTTTKTAAGGGCTTCTGAGTCATTTGAAGTTCTTCGTTCGTGYTAAAATWTACTACTTTTACTCATTCTATWMTWAWAWWAKTWKTSTKKTKSWYCWSMWGYRSCSYYCCTSSYKGC